GCAGTGACCACAGAGTCAGGCAAAGATAGTAAAGCTGCTCAAATGAGGCTGGACTTTTGAATTGTGGATTTTATTAGTAAAGAATAAGCTGTGTATTTTGGAAGCTTTTTCTTTAGAGTAGAAATAGTTGATACTAGTCTCACAAACATTTTTGTGAGTTCTGGTAAATGAGTGCTAACAGAAATCAGCCTTTGAGAATACACTCAGCATTTGTTTAGGTTTCACTGCCATGGTTTTGAGATCCTTGAAAATGAAATTAGGCAATTTTCCTTCTGCAAGGATATACTCTCCCCTCTTGAAGCATGACAAAGCAAAAATCTGCCTTGATGTGCTTCCAGTGCATGTCACCTTTAAAATAAAATATTCATGTGCAGTATTTCCATAGGGTGTTTTCCCATTAATCATGCCAAATATTATTAATCTATTTCTGTTCAAGTCAAAAAGAAGCTTAAAGTCTTGATAGGTGAAGTGAGGTTGATGTGGAACATTTAAGGAAGCAGTGGTTGGCATTAAGAGGGGATTTGCTCTAAGAAGGGAAACATCAACGGCAAGAGCTGGAAAGAACTGGAATTCCCTGCAAGGAATCGGTGGTGAAAGAAAAAAAAAACAATTCATGCTCAGCCTTTCCACATAAGGCAGGGCTGCTGCCACGGGGTCCAGGGATGGGGAGGAACTGCTGCTCTTAATATCAGTGACATTTAGTTTTATGTCTTTTTCTCCTCACCCTTTAAACCTTCTTGTGGAAGAAGTCGTTTAGGAGCTTAGTTTTTGTCTTGTCACTCAGGTTTCTGGCGAGCCTCCAACGACTGAATGTCACCATCACCCGAGCCCGGTTCAGCCTCTTCATCCTGGGCCGGCTGCAGACACTCATGGTAGGTGCAGTGGGCTCTGTGAGCCAGCCCTGAAGGCTGGGGGGGACTGAGCAGCATCCTCAGAGTGCTCCAATCTGTGCAAGAATAAACTTTGTGTCTGGGGCAGTCCTGGATTTTTGTGCTTTTCCAGGGGAGGGGGTGGAGGGGTGGGGGGTAAATTGGCCGCTAGGGGGCGCTGAAGCCGCGCGCCTGAGAGGGAAACCCCTGGAAATTGAGAAATTTGTCATTTTTGGGAGTTCTGATGGTTCAAAGTGCCTTCCCTGTGTTACAGCAGCCAGAGTGTCTGTTGCTGTATTGCACCTGAAACATCAGATTCTTCCATTCCAGAAGGAATATAACAGTGGTTTCCATGACAGTTGTGTCAGGTACCTTGATTAAAGAGGTTGTGCATCCTCTGACACCTCTGTCCGTTTGTGTTGATTTCTTGCTGATAACAGGGTGGGTTTTTTTGTTTTTCTTTTTTTTTTTTAAAGGAAGATAAAAACTGGAATCACTTGATTCAGGATGCTCAGAAAAGAGGTGCCATTATTAGGACAACAGAAAAAAATTACAAGAAAGAGGCTCTGAGGATTTTGAAGCTCAGGCCACCAGGACAGCCCCCAGCCAAAGGAGGGACGATGACATCTCCTGTGCTTCAGGCTGGTTCTTCCAGTGGCAAGAGGAGTGAGCCTGGAAATTCTGGGAACAGCCCACGGGAACTTGCTGCTGGCCCTGGCCATGCAGTGCCCCAAGGAAGCCGAGGGCCCACACAGCCTGCAGTGGCTGCAGCTGCAGATTCCAGGAGGGGCAGTGCCCCTGCACCTGGGGGGGCTCCAGCTGCAGATTCCAGGAGGGGCAGTGCCCCTGCACCTGTGGGGGCTCCAGCTGCAGATTCCAGGAGGGGCAGTGCCCCTGCATCTGTGGGAGCTGCAGCACTTGCTGCCATTCCAGAGAAGCCACGGGACCCAAGGCTGGCAAGCCTGGCCAGTCGAACTGAAGCCAAAGGCACGGAGCAGCCCTCGAAAGATGGCCATCGGTCAGCCCAGAGCAATCCAGGGTCAACACCACAGCAAGGCCTGGATGTGTCCTCAGCTGCCAGGGATCAGATTTGCAGAACAGAAAATGCCAGGAAGGCCCAGCAAACAGCAGGACAGTGCAGTTTGCTTCCTACAGCCCCTCACACAGCTCAGCACGAGTGTGACTGGAGAGCAGCTGTGTCCAAAAGCGGCTCCAAAGCTCCCAGTGAAGGAGGTCAGAGCAGAAGCAGTCAGTGGAACAAAGACTCTCGTGGTTTACCAAGGAGACCATCCCAGGAATCACCAGAGAACACAGAATCAAGCTCTGCCAAGAGAAGAAAGATTTTTCCCTGACTTTACTATCCGCTCATTACCAAAAATCTATTCCCAGATTTCTGTCTAGCAAGGACTCTGTTTTAAATTATTTAGCACAGCTGGAACTCCCTTACATTGATACCACTACTGTCAGTAGATCTCTTTCCCATCCTGTCCCTAATTGTGAAGGGATTTAATACCTGACAGATGGTACCTTTGAGGTTTTGAAAAGAGAAGTTGGGTAGCTGCATTGCTTGGAAGAGCAGTGGGTTTAGTTATCTAGGAAGCTGAGGTTGTAAATGTTTAACTGTGTATATTTGTACAGTATACAGAATTATTTTAAGATTTTTGGCAAATACATAGCTTCTTGTTTCCTTGTGTAAATGCTAATTTCTTAGAGATGTAATTTTTTATGAAGAACCAGAGTAAAGCAAAAACAAAACCCAACAACCCAACCCCAATATCCAAAAGACAGACTTCTTTTCCCTTTGCACTGATATATCTAATTTATTTCATGGCAAAACTGAATGTTGAAAATGTGGTAGCAGTGGTTCTTGCTCATGCTCCACTACTGCCTAAGGGAAGAGTGAGGCAGATGTACATTGGTTAAATGGAGAGAATTCTACTTATTTTGTATATTTTATTGCCTGTTTTTATAGGAACAGAAGAGTTTTTGTTTATACAAACGTGCCTTGAGTTTTGCTCTTGCTGCTGCTTTATCAGTTGGGATCCCTTTCTTGTTGTAGTGGCAATAATCTGCAGATTAAAACCTGTGAGGTCTCTTTGGTCCCACTGTGTGTCCTTGTGAGGAGGAATCAACAGCACTGTGGAATCTTGGTCCAAGATCTAGTTAACACTTATTGTTAATATCACTTGAGTTTCTTTGTATGGAGCTTTTGGAGATCTACAGGGATAAAAAGGGCAGATAGTTCTTTGTAGGTGTTACTGCTGGATTCTTTCCACTGTGCTGATGAAGAATATGCAGCCAGGAAAAGAGGATGGCGAAAAAATAAATTCTTTTTAAGAAACCCTTCCTCACATAACATTTCTCAATAAAAGTGGAATTATTTCTACTAGGAATTCCTTTGGGTCACTGTGAAATATCACTTTTTGTTTTCTGGAGCTTGTGTGTGTCTTGGGAGGTGAAGAGCAGCATTTTACATGCACTGAGTTTTGTGTGGAGTTAACCTGGGAGTGCAGGTCTCAGGGAACGGAGGAGCTGCAGGGTTGGTACCAGCTGGGTGCAGGGAATGAGCCAGGTTGTGCCAGCTCCAGGTGTGTGTTCAGGGACAGCCTGAAGCAGGGACTGTCCTGCTGTCCCTTGTCACAGCGTTGTGGCAGTGGTTTTGCTGGAGCAAGTGAGCCACAGTTTAGCTGTAATCTTCAGTTCCATTTTCTCTACTGCAGGGATAATTCCAGCTTTGTCCTTTGAACCCACTGCCAGGCAGGGCTGTGTGGTCCAGCTCAGGGAGACACCAGTGCCTTACTCTGCCAAGCACCAGGTGCTGTTTCAGGCTGTAATTGCCGGGAAAACTCATCCCTAATGCATCCAAGCCCAGAACAAACATGCTTTACTGGTAGGTCTGCCTTGGAGGTGTGTGGGGAGGCTTTTATTGCTGGCTGGGCCTGTCCAGCTCATTGTGCTGTGCAGGACTGAGTGTTTCAATGTAATGGGGAGAATCTGGGAGATCCCTGTGAGGCGAGATCAGCATCTGTGCATTGTTCAGCTTTAGTTATTTGTTATGTTGCATTCTGAATCCTTCAGAGATCCCTGACTCCTCCTGGCAGCCCTGTGTGCTCTTCTCCAGCTGCTGTGACTCTTAGGAGGCTGCTGAGTGACTCTGACCTTAACAAACTGGACATTTCAGTCACTCCCCATCACAGACTCCATACCCTTTGTGTTATTTCCCTTTATGTTAATAGGAACATTTAAAAGCTGTCATTTTCCAGGCCCCTCAGCTCTTGTTGGCAGAGCTGTGCTGCCCTGCCTGCTGTTTGTACTTAGCACATTAAGAAGCTGCTGCTCTGGAAACCCCATGGCTGTGCAAGCCATTTCGGACTGTCTTGATGTAAATAAAGTGAAGCTGGCAACAAAGTGAATGAGGGAATGCTTTTCTGGTTATTAAAAACAATTTGGTCACAAGAATATTTCTGTGAAACTTTTCTTCTGGTTTTCTTTTTCCATAGTCTGCATTTCAGAACAAGTTCTGAGAGCAGTACTTGCCACATGCTGGAAGGAGTTTTGGTTCAACATTTCACTGCTGTTGTACTCTATAATGCCTGTGTTTTTCCATAAATCATCTTTGAGGTGTGTTCAGTGGCTCAGACCTTTTTGCTGGTTTAATACTAGATTTATCTGACATCAGTTGTCGGTCTTCAGCAGCAGGTTATTGCTGCCATATCAGTCTGTATCATTAGTCCTGTATTTGTCAAATAAAAAAATTGGGTTATTGCACTTAGAACACTTTTCCCTCTTCACAAACCACTCAGAGTAGGTTTGTAGCTTTAGCTTTTTCTCCTGTTGTTTATACCTGTAAACACGGAAAACCAAGCAAAATCCAATCCAAAGCACACTTCTCACTGGCTCAAATCTGCAATGAGGAACAAACGGATCAAGCAGAATTTTCATAAATTTTCTGCTGTGTGGTACAAAGTGCTGAGTAGTGATGGGCAGTCAGTGTGCAGGCTGTGAGCAGAGACCTATAGTTGAGCTACAGTTGTTCATAACTCCTCAGAGCTGGTGGCCCTTGGAAGCTTTTCAGTGGTTACTGAGTGTTAAAAGTTGAAAAAGTCAGTTAAGAAACATACTCAACACAACTTCATGTAAAACACTTTATTGGAGGTTGTGCCAAAACCCTTTGGAAGAAGCAGTATCCAGGTTTTTATAGAGAGGCTTCCATGCTGTTTTCAAGCTTGGAGCTTAACTCTCAGTGCAAAGCCAGTCCCCTCTGTGTTTTTGGGAAGGAAGGAAGTGCTGGACTATGTTTTGTGCAGGGGTTTTCAGAGCCTGGAGGTTTATTTAATTTGTTCTTTGTATACAAAATAGGCTTTGCAGTAAATGTGGGGTATAACTATGGTTATTCCTTTTTCCTTCAAGGTTTGCTGTAATTCTTTGTTTTCCCTGTCATTACTCCCAATCATGGTGATGTGAGAGCGCAGCAGGTCCCTGTCTGTTCTGTGTTCCTTAGCTCTGGGTCACTGTGCCCTGTGCTGTGCTGCCTTCCCAGCTATTCTGGGCTGTCTGTGGGGCAGCAGAGGGGAACCAGCAGTTTTCCAGGAGCATTATCCACTCTGGGAAGCGCAGGAGGGAGATGTTGGCTCGTTGCTGGGCGCTGAGAGCTGGAGATGCCACTGGATTGTGCTTGGCTTTCACAAGAGCTGTGCCAGGCTTCTGTGGGGGTGTGAGGGACATCAGCCTGTCCTTGCCTCTCCATTCACACTCCCAGTGCTGCTGGGACTGTGAGTTCTTACAGTGCTGTCTCCTGGGGCAGCTGAGTGCCACAGCTAATTAGCAGCTGGGTCTAATGAGTGGTGGTGCAGGAGCTGGGAGCCAGGGCTGCAGGCTGGCAAGGCACTTCTCCCCCTGCTAATCCATGGAATGGGAATAACCCCCACACCTGCTACATTCACGTGGGGGAAGCACAGAGCAGCCTGGGCTTCCAGAGCAATGCAGATCTTGTGACTAAATGCATCAGTTGGGGCCAAGCAACATTCCTGGTCGACAGCTGAAAAATAACATGGAACCCCAGTAATTCCAGAGCTGACTTGCTTTTTGGCAGTCTCTGGAACATGGTGAGAAGTCAGAGACCAGAGGAGCCAAAACCAGAGCTGGGCTGTTCATTCACAGCAATCCCATGGATGAGCAGAACCATGGTCCTAAAAATGCAAGCCGCTCTCTCCATTGTGCATGAATAAATGATGGATGAAATGACCGCTGGATTGTAAACGGAATTTATAATGTTAATGATATAATACAGTCTCTTGCCACAACGGGTCTCCTTTCTTGTCTTTTTAAGCTGCTTGGAAAGGAGCCCAGCACCTTTTTCTTTAGTGCAAATAAATGTAAGCTAAGCAGCCTCACACATGGAATATCACTGACTTGAGACCTCCTGGCCATATGTACCTGTCTGCTGCTTTTGCCACCAACTCCCAGGAAAAGCGTGATAGAAATGAAGACACCACATTAGATGTGGTATTGGGAAAACAGAAAACCTGATTTTGTTGTCTGGTGCAGTTGTGCAACATTGCCACTGATTTCACTGTTGCATGAAGCAAGAACTCCCTTTGCTACAGAGAAACCTCATCACTTTCCCCTCTGTTTTAACCCCTGGAGTGGCACAGAGTGGGGTCAGGATGGAGCTTTTGGAGCCTGATATTGCTGCTGGCACTTATATCATGAAGATGAGTGGGTTTAGGCTTTCCTCATGTGTTTTCCCTGCAATTAAACTTATTAAAACACCTCGAGAATCAAAATGTCAAAGCAGCCTTCAGGAGGGTCTGCATCCTAAATCAGGCTGTGATTTTTAGCCACATTCTGTGTGATCATGGCCAAACTCTCCAGTTCCCAGCCAAAAGGGCTGAGAAGATGTGGATATAAAGCTCTTCAAAACCCAGCTCTGCTCTTATTTCTGAGCAAGAACACTCAGCTCCTCCTTTATACTTTGTTTTATTTACATTTGGGGCTTCTCTTGAAAGCAAATTACAGAGCAGAACAGGGCAGTGAGACCATTTCATTCCCATTAAAAAGTTGGTTCTTCTGCTCCTCCAGCCTCTGCAGGGCTCCTTACAAATCACTTGCAGATGAGATGTCTGCTGCTTTAAAAACCAAATAACATACCTGGCAACTGCCAATGGAATTCCTTCCCCCATCCTGTCTCCAGCTCCCAGGAACTGTAGTTTCAACATTTCACCTAGCAAGTGAGCAAATGTGCAGCAGGAAGATTTTGTTGCCTTGGGGCTTTTGGTTGTTTAGATTTGTCAGAACTCTAAATAGTTAAAACCAGAGTAGAATTTGAGGTAAACAAGAAAAATCAAAAGTTCTACTTGTGCAGTTTGGAGAGGTCACTTTTTGCAGACAGAAGTGTAATTTAAAAACTTTCCCAAACTAATCAAATGCCACTGACAGGATGCACATGGAACCTCTTGAAAGAGCATAAGTGGCTTTTCTCAGAAAGAGAAGTACCTTTTGGGTAACCTTTCCACAAGTAAAGTATCGAGATCGTTGGACAACTTCTCCCATTTGGAAGCATTAATTGATGTACAAAACTTCTGTCATAAAGAAGATGAACTTTGGGATCTGTGGGTACTTGCACTGATGGTTTCTCTGTGTTATTTCAATAATGCTCTGTTCTCTTTGTGCAGACACCCGTGCTAACAGATGTCTGCAGTTAACGAGTCTTCAGTGCTGAAGCTTTCAGAAGTTTTAAATTGTTTTCTTGAATACTAAGTGTAAGTTTTGTGTGATTTTCTTCTCTGCCTTGCAGAGGTTTGCATTGTGTGATGCCAAGTCCTTCAGCACATGTGACTATTCTGTGGCTCTAAAACCCCAAAGCCCAACAGCCAATACCCAACCAACCAAGAGCAAAGCCCCAAACTTAGAAAGGCAGAAATACAGTTTTCAGCAGCCTTCATTCCTGGACTGCTCTGAGCTTTGTTGTGCCCTTCTGAGGTTATTTTCTACAGGAATTTGGTGCTGCTGCTTGGCACGTTCCTGCAATAAAATGGTGTATTTGCAGGGAATCTGCTGGGCGCAGTTTGTCTGGCTTTATGAAGTAGTAAATTTTCTGTTGCTTAATCTAATATTCTAGAGAAAAACAGTAGTGCAGGGAAAGGAGAATGTAGCTTCATCCTCCAGAAGTGCCATTAGAGGTCTTGATCTTGTTACAGTCTTTGCTATTACTTGTAAGAACAGTAACATGTGAGGATTTAAGATGTGCTGCAGTCAGAAAGCACAAAGAAAAGACTGTCAGTACCAACAGAGAGCACCCAACTGTGCTGGAACCAGGGAGGCAATGCTGGGGCCAGCCCACTGCCTCAAGGATCAAATCAGGGTGAGTTGAGCCCTCTTTTACTTTATGGTGGATTAACTAAGCCCTGTGCTCTGCCTCAGTGATGTCAAATCCTGCTCAGAATGTGTGTTCCTCTTTGAAGTGACAATATCCATCCTGCACCTTCACTTGTGGTTTTCTGTCCTTTTCCAAAGCACAGGCTCGCTGTCCCCTCTCCGTGGAGGTGGCTGGGTTTTGGTGGCACTGGCTGAGTGCTCAGTATCCAGAGTTAGGGCTGGAAGATGCTGTGGGTTCTTGCACTTCTGAAACATGGGCTGCTCCTGGCATCCCTGAGCAGGATGGGCTGCGGGGACAGGGCCACGGAGAGAAGGTGTTGGAACAGAGCAGAAGTTGACAGAGAAGCTCTCAGAGCCACTCAGGTGTCATTTCCAGGACACCAGACCTGGAAATACCAGTGGGGCTGAAGCCTGAATTATGTGGGGCTCCTGGGCCAGCCCTGGGAGTGTCACAGAACTGGGATTGGTACCAAGGCTGCTCACCTGTCAAAGAAATCAGCCTAGAACTGAACAAGCTGGACTTGGGGGTGCCCCCATCTTCTAAGCCTGCACTCAATCACCTCCTGGCTTGGTAAGCACTAGAGCTCTTGTGTTTATGACATTCCCATTGATCTGACTTCCTTCCTCTTCTCTCTGGTTTCTCCTGCCCTCATTTATGTGCTTGACTGTAAATGTCTCCTCAGACAGGAGCATGTTGATGAGCCTTAATGAGTTAATATAATCCCCATGAGCTCTATATTGCTGCTTAAAAATACTGGCTGTGGTTGCTTAAAAATACAGCATTTTCTGCAAAGATGCATCATGGCAACAGCTGGAGGGGACTGCAGTGGGGTTGGGACAACTGAGGTCCCCATGGAGAAGCATCCCTGCACTAGCCAGCCTTTTCCTGCTGCAGGCTCATTTGGAAATGGCCTTTTCACACAAGACCAGTGCTTAATATATCACTCAGACTTTGCTCATTGTCTACAGTTAGTAGTCTAACCTAGGCTCAGCGAAGTAATTAGGAGAAATAATTAACAGCTCTCAGTAATGAGGCTACCTCTCCCTCCCCTCTCCCTCACCATGTGGTGCACCTTGGTAGTAACTGAGAAAACACAAGAGGACATTGCAAATCAAAAAATAAGTCTTTACCTGTAATTAACTGTGCACACAAAAAATAAAACATGGTGATCAAGCAGCCATTAATAGTTGCTTTACTGGAGGAGGATACACCAGAATCAAATGCTCATGGTAAAATGTCCCTTTAGGTCGTGGTTCTGGTTCTGTTATAACATTTAATCCAAATAAAAATAAGTCTCTACCAAAAGAAGTATTTGACCCGTACACCATACGGACATGTGTGGATAAGACACTGCACTCCTCACGTTCCAAATGCCTCATGGCCCCTGTGTTCTCCATAAGTGCAAGAAAACAAAACCCAGCCATGAAAATACAAAATCAATGCAGCAACTACAGTTGTAGGCAACAGTATGTGCGTGGCCAGGCCAGGCCCGTGGTGGGATGTGGGACTATGCAGCAGGGATGGACCAGAGTCCCCTCTCCCCTCCCTCCTGTCCCCTGCTCCTTGTGTGCTGGGGCTCTGCAGTTGTCATCACAGGCTCTTCTAAAACAGATGCCAAGAGCAGGGAAAATAAAAACAACACCCCAGCCTATACCAAAGTAAATAAAGTAATAATAAAAAAAACATCCCTTGGATGGCGGCACTGTTTGCCCAGAGACCCGGCGGCCCTGGCCCCGGCAGAGCAGGACAGAGTCACTGTGTGCAGGACGGGCCATGTCCCACACAGGCTGCTGCTGTCCCCGTGTCACCACGCTGGGACACCGGGCTGGGACACTGTGCTGGGACACCGGGCTGGGACACTGTGCTGGGACACCGGGCAGGAGCCAGCGCCGGGCTCCCTGCGTACCTCTCTGCTTGGAAAGTGGACCGAAAGACGCTGTGCAAGTCCTAGCGTGAAGGAAGGCGGAGGAGGCGGTGGGGACGGCCACCTGTCACCTCAGTGTCCCCAGGTCCCTGGGGTGACACGCCCGGGCTGGGCTCCCTGTGCAGCCTCAGAGGTCCACCCAGCCTCGCAGCTGCAGGGCGAGCACCCCCAGGGCCACGGTGGCCAGGCTGCCGCCGGCACCGGGAGCACTGTCACAGTCCTTTTTGTCCACTTCACACCTGGACTGCTGGCACAGGACGCCCTTGAAGCCCACGGGGCAGATGCAGCGCTGGTTCTGGTAGCAGGTGCCGCCGTTCTGGCAGAGCAGGAGCTCATCGTCGCAGACATTGGCTGCAGGGGGACAGGGAGAGGTGTAGGTGTTACCCTGCAGTGTGCTAAACCCCTCGGCTGCAGCAGGAACTAGATTTTAGCTCCTAGGAGTAAAATTATCCAGCCCTCCCAGTGCTAGAGCAGTTCCAAGGCCAGCAGAATGCAGTGGAAGGGTGCAAACTCCATGGCCAAATCTATAAAGTAATTTTAGGTTTGTGAGGAATGGCTGGAATCTGCTCACCCTGAACCCCGACCATCATGGGGCACCCAAGCCAGCAGTGCTGGAGATCCTGTCCCTGTTTGGAGCCGTCCCACAGCTCCGTGGCCCTGCAGCCGGGTACTCACGGAAGCAGCCCTGTCTCCAGTAGTAGTTGGGCAGGCAGTCATCGCACTTGGGCCCTGTGGCACCTTCCCTGCACTCACAGTAGCCGGTCTCATTGCAGCGGTCGTGCATGGAGCCAATCTGGTTGCAGTTACATTCTGGCCAAAGACAAGGAGGTCAGAGCCCGTCCTGCTGGGGGTTCTGTGTCTGCAGTTCCCTGAGGGAGGGGCTGAGGGCTTTGGAAAAGTCTGGAGATGTGGTATGGAAGAGAGCTTAGAGATCAAGGGGCTGGGAGGACACGTTGGCCTAAGAGGCCCCACCAGTGCAAACAGCCACGAGTGCAAAGGCCACCCCTCTTTGGAGCTGAGCCCTTCTGGCTGAGCAAGGCACCTGAATTCAGTCAGAAAGGCTTTTTACTGTGAGGGTGGGGAGGCCCACGGTTTGCCCAGAGAAGCTGTGGGTGCCTCATCCCTGGAAGTGTCCAAGGCCAGGTTGGATGGGGCTTGGAGCAACCTCATCTAGTGAAAGGTGTCCCTGCCCACGGCAGAGGGTGGAACTAAGCAGTTTTCAACCCAAACTGTTGGGTGATTCTGTGATAATTTTTAGGTTTTGTTTTCAGGGAAGAGATGCCCTGGCAGGCTGCAGAGACCATACCAGCTGCCATCCTTGCAGAGCATGCAGGTGGGCCCCACACCCTCCAGAGAGGGGCTGAACGAAGCGGAGTGAGGGCCCTGCCAGGCCGTGCTCACCTATGCAGACATTCTCGTCATCCAGCTCGGCAGAGCTGTTGCGGTAGAAGCCCAGGCGGCAGTGCTGGCAGTGCTGGCCCCGCGTGTTGTGCTTGCAGCTCACACAGGTCACCACGTTGAGGAAGTCGATGTAGCTGCAGCGGTTGGAGTGGCCGTAGCACTCGCAGTCTGTGGAGGAGAGGAGGGGAGAGCTGGAGATGTGGGCCTGGAGCGCCTTCCCCCGTGCTGGAAGGAGGAGAGGGAATGCCATGGCCACTGCCAGAGCAGGGCTGGGGTGAGCTGGGCAGGAGGAGGGCGCACAGCTCTCCATCACCCCGGGAAGTCTGGGCTGGAAATCACTCAGAGCAGGGTCAGGGTCCCTGTAATCTTGAGGTGTGGAGAGGCAGGAGCCAGCTCCTTGCAATCCCAGGACATGATTTCTTCCAGAAACTGCATAATTATGGGAGCAGGCAGTGGAGGGGAGTCAGATGTTAATTAAAGAGCCGTCTTGTTAATGAGCAGAGCTCTGTGCCTGGGTTTGGCTCTGAGGAGGCTGCAGGACCTGTGAGGAGCTGGGCTGGGGGAAGAGCCCTGGCACAGGCTCTGCCTGGCTGGGGAACAGAGGGGACTGGCCCATGGGATGGGCCTGGCAGAGGGTGCTCAAATGGAGATGGAGCTGCTGCATGTCCAGGTAAAGCCTCACCTCTCCTTTTCCCCTCTCTATCTCAGCAGGTCCCTTCCTGTTGTACCTTTCTGTTCTGAAGGGTGGTGGCTCTCAGGTTAAATGTTTAAAATAAGCCTGTTCAAGGCAGTGTGGTATCCTTCAACAGCTGGTGGACAGGTGTGTGAAGGTTTGAACCGGGGCTTGCCTGGCACAGCACAGTAAAGGCTGCTGGTGGGGAGGGACATGTCACCATCACTTGGCCAAATGCTCCTGTCCCCAGGGCTGACCTCTCTCAGCTGTGGGCACATGTTAGGAAACAACTGTTTGTGGGTGAATTTGTAGTCAGGGGGATTGGATTTTGTGCTTCTTGTGTTTGCTTTTTATGACTGTGACTTGGGATGGTGACAGCCTTGCAGTGTCAGATCCAGGCACTGGGTCTTACTGGGACCAAAAAAATCTGGGAGATTTTTCTATAAATACATATATATATAAATGTGTGTGTGTTTGTGTGTGTTTATAGTGAGATGTTCAACTCAGGAGAAAAGGAGGAGACTTGTGGCCCAGCTGACCTGGGCAGGAGGTTCCCAGGCAACAAGGGCAGGGGACAACATGAGCAGAAAGTCTCAGCCAGGTCTGAGCTTTCAGAGCCTTCAGAGAGAGGTTTGGGGCTGGGGTTTTGTTCCAAGCAGAACATGAAACATTCAAGGATGGCAGAGGGATGGCAGGGAAGGGTGTGGGTTGGCATGCACATGCGACTGGAGGAGGAGACGTGATCAATGACATGATGACCAAAGAAGAAGGAGCAGGGCAGAGGTTTCCCCATGGTTCACAGCTGCCTGAGGAGGAGCTGAGAGTCTCTTGTGATCTCTGTGAAATAACTTCTGCCTCACCAACTGATACCCAAAGAATTTCAGCTCAAATACTGCCTGCTGCAATTCCTAGGTGTTGTTTCAGACTACAGAAGCACTGCTACACACAGCCAACAGCTAACCACGACTCGGACAGACCCTCCCCACCTTCTCCACGTCTGAGTCTGCAGGACCACATCACCTGAGCGAGGCCAGGGAGCCCTGGAGCGCCGCCCTCCCTCTGCTTACCTTTGTATGTTTCAATGGGAGCCACTGGGCCAGAGTTTGGTTTGAGCCGGATGAGTTTTGAGCTCTTTGAGGATGCTTGAGAAAAATCAGAGAAAGGCTTTTTCTCACTGTTTAGCACCACCCCGTGTCCTCCCCTGCCACGAGAACAATACTGAGCCAAGTGCTGGCAGCACTGGCATCTATTTCTGCACCAGATAGCTGCTACATTTCTCCTCTTCTCCCCTCCTCAAAGTTTGATGCATGAAAAACTCAATGCTTGAATAACTCAACACTCAACACTACTGCAGAGCTGGGAGGAGCTGCTCACATGTGCCTCCTTGATGAGTGGTTTGGGATAAGGATCTACAACTTACAAACCATTATCTACTGGCCACCGACTGGGGCTGATGGAGGTCATGCCAGCTGGCACCCAAAAATCTGCGAGGAGGATGAGTGCTATGGAGGTGGCATCTGGCAGGGGTTGCTACAGGGTCCTGCAGAGCAGGTGCTGCTCCAGCCTGGCAGGACGCCCCCAGCAGCACGTACCTGTCTTTTTCCCGTGCTTCTTGCCTGCAGAGTGTGCTGTGCGCCCTGCTTTGCTCTTCGGAGTCGCTGCGCCAGAGGACAGAACAGGTCTGAGAGCTGTGCTGGGGAGGGGGCTCCCAGGGCCATGTTCCCCATGTTTGCTCGGGGTGAAGGGCTGTCCCAGCAGGAATGGGGCTCCCTGGGGGTTGTGCTGCCAGCCAGACCCCTGTCCCACGCAGAATGACCCAGCACTGGGGGAAAAGGCCACCAAGCCTTGGGAGGTTTTGTGCTCTGGTGAGTCCAGTGAGGAGCAAGGCTGAGCAGCATTGAGGTCCCACAGGGTATTTGGAAATGGATTCTGGTTCCATTGGTTTTTTTTATGGAGCTTATGCCCTTGCAGGTGCTGTGGTGCTCAGGAGGGCTCTGTGTGGGCACTGCCAGCTCCAGACTCCTGTGTCAGTCACATCCTCACAGTGACAGTGGTGACAGGAGGTGGTTCTGCTCCCCATGAGCTCAGCCATGGTCAGAGTGCATCCCTGAGGCTGCTGTGGTACCAGGGCCCTGCTGGTCTCCATGGCTTTCCCTGGCCCCAGACATCTCCAAAAAGACCCCCCTGGGGCTGGATGGGCAGAGCTGAGCTGAGCTGGACCCTCTGAGTAGGAGATTGTACAATGGGGGGTTGTGCTGAGGACAGCTGGTTGTCCTGGTCTGCGGCACTGAGGGAGAAACCTGCCCTGTCCCACCCCTGGGGACAGGCCTGGTCTTACCTCGCATGTTCTTGGGAGGGTCTGATGGCTTCGGCTTCTGTCCAAGTGCTGCTGGGTTTGGTGGGTCATCACAGGTGGCATCAGAGAGAACATCAGATTTAAAACAGATCCCCCCTGGTTTGCTTAGCAAGGTGTCAAGGGGACACTGGAAGCTCTAGGCAGGTGTCTAGGCTGGGCCGGTGAAACTGTAACTGGTTGAGGATGTGCTGAAGCAGGAAGGAGAGACAAAGCCTCCTCAAGGTTAGCATCTACAAGTGTGAAGAGAGGCAGGAAAAATATTCCTAAGGGGAAGGTGTGGGAGCTGCTGGATGGCTGAGTGTTGGCAGGTGGTTCTGACACTGCCCAGGCACGGAGAGAAGCCAGATCTGCAGAGCCCTGTCAACACTTGCCCCTTGGTGTAGCTCTATCCCTTGTTACTGCATCAAAAGCAGCTTTGCCTCTCTGTGAGGCCAGACAGGCCTGGGGTGGATCTGCACAGGAGCAATGCTAAAGCCTACGGCTGGAACGAGCTACAGGAATCTCGTGTGGGAGAAGGGAGCTGAGCACCAAGGACAGCTACCAAAGCCTGTGTGTGCTGGGAGCCCTGAGCAGGAGAAGCTTCAGCCTCAACAGCCAGACAGAAACCTCCCAAGGCTCCCACCTGGAGCACCTCAGGCAGTAACGTAGGAGACCTGAGAAAGGAAATGCATCAGAAGGATCTAAACAACTCTAACCAGCACAGGCTATCCATTCTGAGGGTGATTCTGCTGCACAGACAGGCTCCAGCCTCGGGAGGTGACAGCATTTCCATGATCCTCTCTGCTCACCCCAGCAGCAAGCTGTGAACAATCCCTTCTACCATTCTCCATCCTCATTGTTCATGTACACTACTAAACCCCGAGGCTCAATCCAGCCTCATTCCCAGCTGTGTGCAGGGCACAGACAAGCCCCGAGCTCTTTCCTGGGCAGGAGGAGAAGAGAGGCATGGAAAACACTGATCCAGAGCTAGAACTAAAGCATTCTCTGAGCTGGCAGGACCCAGCTCAGCCCCGTGGCTCCTACCTTGTGCTCCTGGGCCAGCCTTGGCCAGGGGAGAGCCCACCTGCAGCGGGGCAGCCGCCGACAAGCCGGGGTAGTCTTGCAGTGATCAAAGAGAAAATTGTGTTACTGGAGGAGCTGGTATCCCACGAGGAGCCCTGCAGCATTCCCACACGGAGTCAGAGCCTCAAATCCAACACCCAGCCCTGTGCCAGAGGGGTCTTTAGACACCAGAGCCCTTGAGCTGTGAGGGGCAGCGTGTGCTGAGCTGCCTGAGCTCCTGTGTTAGCATCAGGATCTGAGCCACTGCCCTGCACCCCTCTGCTCTGAAATGCCAGCAGAGAAACAGCACACACACCTGGGATGGAGGCACCAGGCCCTGGTTTCCAATCCCAGCTTCCACACCCTCCTTCAGGCTCTCCTCACAAATACAAATGAAAGAATTTCCAACCACCGCAAAGATGAACCAGCAAGAAATTTTATAGCTCACTTGTGTTTGGTTTCCCTGCAAACCCTCACCCCCACTGGCTCCATCCCCCTCCCCTCATTCTCAATATTGGTAACAATCTTCAGGTTTGCTAGAAAACAAATCAGGGACTAAAAATTTTAAAAGCCATATTATTAATTTCAAGCTCCAGTTGGGTAACATAAGGAGGAGGAGGGAAAAAATAAAAATCTCTTGATTCTTGCCAAGTTTCAAAGGACAAACCCAAGTAGGAGAGAAATGTGATTTCCCAGCCTCATCAAGGAGATGATAAACAATACAGAATAAAAAAGAAAAAAAAAAAGATTATTTTTTAATGACAAGCTCTAAGAGAAGGTGATAGACATTGTCCTTTTCAGCTGGAAAGTGGAAACCAATTGATATTAATATGGTGTTAAAGAGAATATGAAAAAATCCCTGTGCAAATTGGCAAGGGTTTAATTAGAGTCACAATAAAAAACAGCCCTGGAGGCATTTTGCTTTTTAGTCATTCACATACACCTCCACTCAATCGCATTTACAGAGCCAAGAAAATTATTAATGCTCATTATCCTGAGAACCTTTCCCTTTGTAGCTCTGGGCCATAATGGACAGTTTTACATTTTGGGAGGGGGAGAGAGACACATTTTGCCCCAGACCCACTTCATAAAATTGGG